TTTCTTGATGAGTAACGATGTATATACAAAATACTAATCATCAATTCACTTCGAGTTCTAATTTATATGAGGCTTGTAAATATGAAGATTAAGGTGATTGGACATTAGGTTTAGTCACAGTCACAGTCACATTTAGCTGCATTGATTTGGTATGGCGTCGCATTAGCAAGTTGATCGGGGCGACAGGGAGATGTTCTGGATCACTCAGTCCTGCGTCCTCTGCCATAGTAGTCATGATAATTTCCAACATCGAACAGTTGACTTGGTACGTTCTCAGGCATTTTTCCAGCATATTATTCGGCATAGTCAATAAGAGACCTTATCCTCAGCACCAAGTTACAATCCATAAAGTGACATCCACTTGACCATTTTATTGTTCTGAACAATTTTTGATGCTTGTGCCATTTTTGTGAGATATCTTTCGTGAATTTACTTATTTATTTCTTCATCTAGTTATGTGTTACATCCGATTATATCTTGTAACTTTTTCATGTTATAAAATTTATTCAATTTCATTATTAATATAAACGTGCCTGCCTCTATGCTTATCTTCTGGATTTATTCAAATGTCTAACCTCTACTAATATTCAACCAAAAATCTTCTCTTCCTTAATCGAATTCACGCTATTTATTGAAAATTCACTCCTTAAATCCTTCGACTTATTTTAAAGATTTTTTGTCACCATAACTTTATGTTTTCTGCTTTACTCAAATATTAGCCTATTATTATATATCTCCATGTTGTTTTCAGTTGGAGGGAGCCTTTCTTGTCGTAACGACATGATTCTAGCTCTACGTATCCAGGAGGTCTGCCTTGTCCACTGGCCTCAGTTGAGCTTGAGCCGCAAGGGCTCTGGGCCATTCCAGCCGTGCGGAGTTTCCTCAGGTCCCGAGATCGGGTTTGAGGAGAGTTCGACTCTTCCTCCCTGGCTTCGTCAGATTTTTTATTTGTTTACACCGACCCCTGGGCTTTTGGAGGCCTCTTTGCCAAATTACCATGTGAGATTTCTGACCCATATGCATTTTTGGCAATTACTCCTTATTTATATTACTTGTATGCTTTTTAAGCAACTTCAGACTTACTCCTTCTGGTGTTATTGCTTAATCTTACAAAACTTTGTGTCCAATAGATCAAATATATTTTATCATCTAATTTAAGATGACGGTAATGGAAAATATTTGGATTCATAGTCAGATTAGCCTCTGTAATCGTTAGACACGCTATGGAATTTTATTTAATCATATATTATCAACCAAAAAGCGAAGATCGACCACTTGGGGCCAATTAGATTCTCTTCTGAATTTGAGGATAGATTTTCGAGTAAAATAGTCTATTTGTTTTGGAGAACATTTCTTGGAGTTAGGATGAGGACATTGTTTAAAGTAATGGTTAATTTATTCGTTTTTCTGCATGATTAAGCATCCTGCTTCGCTTTTTTGACTGGGGTGGCGTGTCATGAATATAACAACTCTTGCCCCATATGAATGCATACTGAAGAGCACAAAGTTGCCCACAATACTTTTCCTGTATACTTTAGAGATTTGTATTCGTCTTGCTCAGACAAAAAATATAATAGGCCAGCTTCGAAACCCAGCTTCTCTTCGTAATATAATAATCTTTGAATGGCTACTCAGATTACGATTATCATAATGAATAAATTGATTTTATTTAAGCTACACAGATCTTTAACAAACTAGCCATACTTCCATACAAGAATAAAGAACAGAGTTGGTGGGAACTATGCATACATACTGAGTTGTTTTACTGAGCATGAATATAAGGAGCTTGCTTCAAAAAAAGAAGAGCAGAGAGTATGAACCACAATGATAGTGATGGGTTTAAATATAATAATTTTTCATAGATGGCTAGGCACAATAAACGCTTTATACTCTGATAAATGGGGATTCGCCCTGTCGTTAATTCTATAATTAAGAAAGAGATTACGAGTAGATTTTTAGATCGCAATTGAAGGATTACAATGGATGTAATCAAGCTGGGACCTGTCACAACTAGATATGCGAATACATACTAGCTTGGGACATAACCAATCCAGCTATAATTAAGCAGTAATGACGAAATTTTGTTTATAATTCGAGACTTGTTAATTCGGGTGGTTGAGCACAGAAGCTCCCTACGGAATTATGGCTCTTTAATAGAAGCTTGAATTAATCACAAGAATGTTGGTGACCCTAGAAGAGGCCGAGACTACACCTAACGCAACATTTTGTTTAAACTATAGACCTTGTCCAAAGTGCGCCCTCTAAGGATCTCGTTACCAAGACCATGAGAAGCAGCCGTCTGGTTGACCTGGCACGTGGATTTCGTGCAATACAGAACAACAATTTCCTCATTCTCGCTCACGGAATCATTTTCCTAGTCTCTTGCCTCTTGTATATTACTCCCCTTTGTATTCTCTTTATGGGATTATTTCTACTCGCTATTCTGAAATTCTTATAATCTCTTTTCTGCGTTTTTCATCATATTTTATTCACCTTACTTTATTCTGCTTATTCCATTTTGGTATAATCTTTTTAATCTGTTTTTATCCTCTCCTTCCAGGCACCCAGCTGTCTTCTTATCCAGCACGTACATATCGAGCGCTCCGCCGCCACTTGGGCAACTTCTGGCTGGCGTCGGGCTGAAGAGACATCTGGCCAGGCGGCGGCCGCTACGGGTGTCAAGACAACATCTCCTCATGACAATCGTTGTTCCAGTCACGAAGGCCTGGCTACAGCCAGCCTTGGGAAACCTCTTGTCCATGGATCTGCTTCAGCTGGTCTCTCTACTTCTCACCCATCATCCTCTATTGCAGCCTCAGCTTATGCTTCCTCAAGTAATACCATGCTTCCAGGCATGAACTCTCCGCAGCTAAACGTATCTAATCCTCAGGCGTCCTGCCTCCTTCCACTGCTACGTGCTCTGGTAACTTGTGAAGCGGCTAGCCTTACAGTGAACACTGTCTCTCTTCTGCCACATTTGCCCCAAACATCTATATCGGTGAGGGGGGCAAACTCCGTTCCTCGGCCCCAAGAAGATGCAAAGGCAACTGGTCTCGAGAAGCCATCACCCTCTACTAACCTGTCTCAGCCGCCGGTTGGAATGTCCATGGCCGCATTTGTGCAAAACATCGCCATTTTTCTTTGCCCTTCCTTCCGGCAAATTCCAGTTAGTTATATTAATTGCTTATATTGTGCAACTTTTTCATCTTATGTCGAATATACAAGTGCTGGTATCACTCTCTTTCTGGAACATTCTTAACTATATTTTTTTCGAACTTCCTTACAAGAAATTTGAACAAAAGTACTATTGCATTTGAATCGAATTTCGCCAGCTTGTCTTCTTTGTATGCAGTTTGTCCTTGTAATGAAAAGGGCTGGTGTCAGCATCACATGAGGCCGCCTACTGATAGTCTGGGATACCTTATCCTGATGCGGATTGTTTTGTTTTTGCTGGCATTACTGTACACCTTAAAAAGTATGTGGCTTCTATACTAGCTCCTCCGGAGTCCATAGTATCCATAATACTTTCCAGGTTATGACCATGGGCTTGGTACATTCTTAGACGTTTCGCCAAGTCCACTGTCTGACGCTGGACTCTGGACAAGGTGCGTTCCTCTAGGTCTCAGTGACAATAATACCAAGTTGCGAAAACAAAGTCATACGACTTTTATAAAACGAAATGAGACCGCGACCATACCAGAGGCCAAACTATCTTGGTCTTCACACCTTCGATTAAACTATAGAAGTAAGATTGGTAAATTATATAATGATTGCAACGAATCATGACATCTGAACTTTTTGAATTGTTGCAAACTTCGTGTTATCGCTCTTGGGTTTTCCAACTTAATCAGGAAATACCATTTGGGCACAATTAATGAAATAATTTATCACGCCTTCTTCCAAAGATTAGAGGAGACTTACGAGATTGAGAGGCTTAGGCTATTTGAGTTTATAGTCATTAAGTCTATAATCAGGCAGGATCTAGGTAGGATTCTTACTCCAGAGAGCTTTCAAAAACTTTAATGTATGACTGAGCAGAAGTCGCAAGGAGTCCGGGACTTGATAAATAGGAAGCATAACAAAAAATTGCTTAGTTAAGGCAGTGCAGGAACTAGCCAATCCTAACAGTTATGATGTTTTGGTATTGAAGGTATCCGCTGCTCCAAACGATGAAGATAAGGTAGGGAACCTATCCTCAGTCCTTCTTGATTCTGAACTCATGTGTCTTCTGAAAAAGGGGTTAAATTTTTGCTTATCTACCGGAGGAAAGGTTTTCGAAGCTATTTTTATGCAGGCTGTGATTATCTCGGTGAAATATCTTGAAGAGACCAAACGGGAGATGAAACTGGAATTAATAACAAGAATTCTGGCACATCAAGGGGTCAATAAACAGAGGCGGATTGTGGAGGATACGTAGAAACTGACAAAGGGGCGAGTCCCGCTAGAGGTGTTGCGAAGATTAAGGCGAGGTCGAGACTGCAGTCCACACTGGATGAAAATACTTTTTGGGGAAGCAAAGCTATGTTAAATTCAATGAAAATGTAAGGCCTACTCATATCATTGTGGGAAAATTCAACTCTAGTTTCCACACTTCCTTAAATGAAATAGGGTGAATATATATTAATATTTAAATGATATATTGTTAGTCACGAAAAACAACTTATAAAAGTAACAGGTTTATGTAAACAAGTAAGAAATTGTAATAGCGAAGAGATGATATGAGGATGTAGGATAATTGAATGCACTAGGTCTCACTCTGAAAATCAACATGCATACTATGGGCTTTGGACTAGGTGAGTTCCTTTAGGTCTTCTTTATAATATGATCAAGTCACGAAAAGAAGGTGAAACTATTTCTTTGCGACAAAAGAAGACCGCGACCATACTAAAGCCGGTACGATCTTGGTCTTCGCACATTCATTTTACCATATAACTTAAAATCATACCTCACTAATCGCACGCAACCCTCTTTTCTTTCACACCAGTGCGTCCCCAATACTGAGCTTTGTCTTCGCCATTTGGCGGAAGCAAACTCACCCCGAAGTCTGCAACAATGGCTGGTCGGCCTAGAGAAAACTTTTACTTCGTCTTGCATCTGCATTGCAGATCTTGATCATGCCGAGGTCCGTTGTTTCGCCAGTCCCCTGAATCCATCCGAGCTGGACGAAAGTTCTCGAGTAAGTGAGAGCTTTGCTATTTTAACTTTATCCGATCTAGCCCACATATTCATAGTTGTTTTGCACCTTTCAGCCTACTTTTCGACTTCACTACAAAAGTGTCGTAAAGACTGTATTGCCTATTTCATCAGAATCATCTTGTGTTTTTTTAATTTTGGGTTTGTCTACCTTCAGGCCAAAATGGCTAGCCCTAACAACACGACCTCCTCGCAAGCGCCACTACCCCTTCGCATTGATGCTCGCATTACAAACAATTCGTTGCGCCTGCGTACTTGTGCCGATAGTCTTTCTGGTTTTAAGGCTATTGTGCAAGCGCTTCTGCCACAGCTACCTCTGGTGCTGCCGAACACGACCCAGCAATCAACATCACTTTCATCTAGTCAGGCTGCAGCATCCGCTTCGAATCAATTTAGGCCTGAACCCGGCAAATCACTGGCAGGACCTCTTCCTCATGGAACTGTAAGTATTTCACCTCTTTTGAGCTCTTATTGTATGGAACTGATACCCACTATTTCTTTGAATCTCTGGCTTTATACACATTGTTGTTTGAGGACTATATTAATTTCATACCAAATGATTGGATTACTTGTAGATCTTATGGTCATTTTGCCTGTATATTAATTCAAATTAATTGCTTTTCAGTATACACTCAATTTCGTGTTGACGATAGATATAAGATTATCTCAAGTCATTTTAATTATATTATGTTTAACGTAACATAATATTCATGTAATCTTTAATTAAATATTGAAAATCGGCAGTTTTTCATTTTTTTTTAAAATTAAAACTTTTCCTCAATGAAACCTCGTTTTATTTTTCGTTAGGATCGGTATCTACTTTTTTTCGTAAGTGAGTAGATTTTCGAGACTACTAGTAAATCAGATATATGAATTGTGTTCACCTTATTTCGTTTAAGGTGATGAAGGACTGGTAGTTGATTTTTCACACATTTATATGAGTAGAGCTGACGTTTACATTGAATTTCGCATAGCCTTGCTTTCCCAAAAGGTGTTATAATCCAGGTTGGACTGCAGTTTCGACCTCACATAGGTCTTATCAACAGCTAAAGCTGGAGTCGAATCATGACAGTGCAGCGTGTAAACTCTACTCGTTAACCCCTACGCCGCAATGTCATTAGCACGCTTGGGCCAGAGGGCATAAGTGAATTTCAAGGAATGTCAGGCATTTTCCATATCAAATTCTGTGTTGGATTTGTCGGTGAATTAAACTTCTATTTGCTAAAGTAATCGACGACCTTACTTTTGTTGAGTCAATTTTTCTTGACTCGTTAGCTTTAATTTGGTTGTGACGATAATACCTTGCTCGGATGATGTTCGTCATATGAACGGCGAAAGCTTAGCACCTTTTCACCGGAATCAAAGGAGATTACCTCGAAAACAGCGTCAGCATGAGTGTTTCAGTAAAGCCAATCGATAGCTGATCAAGAGGAATCCGCCGTCGTTTTCTGGTAGAATTGACCTTTGAATCTCTTCACCAAACACTTTCAATCGAAATGGAAGTAAGCTCAACAATTATGAAAAAAGAGATTCCTCGAAACCCTACTTTTCTTCGCGACCTTACTTTTTTCGTAAGCGAGTAGGTTTAATAGGCTACCAGTAAATCAGAAGGACTGGTAGTTGATTTTTCCCACAATGATATGAGAAAATTCCTGACGTTATTTGAAATTCACATCTGCCCTCTTACCCAAGGGCATTGGTGCCAATGTGGTGTATTGTTTAATTTATCGGGGCTTACACGCTGCACTGTCATGGTTCGACTTCCGTTTGGGGTGTTGATAAGACCTCTGCGAGGTCAAAATTGCAGTCCAGTCGCATCTGGATGAGAACAACTTTTGGGAAAGCAAGGTAATGTGAAATTCCATGGAAACGTCAGCTCAACACAAATTTGAAAGTCTTTTCAAATTAAATTTATCCAACAAAGTATCTTTTTCGAATTAAGTATTGTTTTCGTGGCTACCAGCAAATCAGTAATATGAGATTTATTCACCCAATTTCGTTTAAGGTGGTTAAGGACTGGTAGAAGAAGAATTTTCCCACAATGATATCATTTAAGCTGACGTTTCCATTGAATTTCACATAGCCATGCTTTCCCAAAAGTTGTTCTCATCCAGGCACCAGTGAACTGCAGTTTCAACCTCGCATCGGTCTTATCA